GGGCGGGCGGGTGGGCCCTTCGCCGTTCCCAGAAGTTATTTACTTCCGGGTTCACTGACCAACCAGTTCGCAGGGACCGCCGCGAACCGGTTGAAACCCACCCCTGAAATACACACAAAAACACCTTGTTTACTGTCCCTATCCTTCCCATATATACACTTACAAATCAGAGCAGAAAAACATGAATATTGCACATGAGATTGACCCACTCCAGATGCACTGGAGAAGGGCATGCTGCAGACTTTATCGGTCAAAGAATTCTGACTGGTGGAATCTAGGAGGAGAACCTTTTCTGCCATGGATCCCACCCTCTGGAATATTGTGCCCCCACCGAAGCTGAGATCAACATCCACCATTTTGGCCTTCTGAAAGGGGCTGAAGACCTGGCTCTGCCAAAAGGCTTGGGCCCCCGATGAGGAGATGTCATTTTGGAGGTGATTAATGGACTATGGTAAGATCCATGTGTGCATCTTGCTCCCTTCCTTGCCATCTTTGTTTAATTTTTAAGTCAATTGTAATGTTAACATTTATTATTTTAATGTGTTAATAGTTTGTCTTGTTGCTTTCATTGTAAGTTGCCAAGAGTTATCTCTAGGAGAGATGAGCAGCATATAAGTTTACCAGATAAATAAAATATTCGCATAAAAGCAATATTGAAGGTTATTGCCTTTGAAACTACTGTAGTGCTGGAGCTAACAAAGTAATATTAATTTTCATAAATTATCCTCTTTTCAGAGCCCAGGAACTATTCTTTGTATTTTAATTAATTATGTCTAAGACATTTTAAATCTTCATAAATCACAGTGCTACTAGCCTATCAAAATAATTTATTTCAATAGAGTTATTGCAAGTGTCTTACATGCCATGTTATATAGGTTTCATGGTAATTACATGCTGAGGTCTGAGAATACAACAAAAATAATATTATAGAAAAGAATTTTTTTTTATTAATTTCTGATGGATATATAAATTTCCATTACAAAATGATCAGCTTTAAAAGAACTATAAAGACAAAAGAATATAGCATTCAGTTATGTTCTAAAACTCACAAACCTTTGTTCCTTCTGTGGTGGGAAGAGACAAATTCAGAAATTCTTCTGTTAGTCTCCTCCAACTTCCAGCTTTAACAAGGTCAGAGTGAACCACCAGCTTTTCATAAATTCTATATAAAAATATGAAATGTTTACTAATCTTTAGGTATAAAATAATTCATCTAATGTTAAAAGAAACACAAAAACTTTACCCTTCCATTATTTTCTCCACTTTGTGCCTACTGACATCAAGAAATTGATGAAACCTAGAAAAAAAATACAGAATTATCTTTTGGATCATGGGTCAGAAATGATTAACTTGTATTTTGTTCAATAAGTGTATTTTAATAGCATTTTTACAAAGGATGGGCTTCATTTTTATTTATTTACTATAGTCACAAACCCTAGAGTATTCAGCCTATTTTCATAAGATCGACCTGTAAAAAGCAGCCTTGCTCACTCTAATGTTCTCCAAACATGTTGACATCAATCTGATGCATTGTCTTTATTATTTATATAAGACTAACATAGGAATGTATTTTCAGATCCTGATGCCTCCCCCACTTGCCTGAGGCGCCCTCTCTCCTTACTATGCAGCTTCTCCACTTGGATTTCAGTTCCCTCTCCTTTCTGGGAACTGGTTAAAAAAGACATCTGATGAAAGATTTCAGTTCCTCTTTGTGAACGGAAGGGAACTCCTCCAGCTCAAATGTTCAGAATTTAAGCTCAGTTTCTAGACTCTGATGAGGTTGAGTTTCCCTTCATGCATGGAGAGGAATTCCCGTGGCAGGGTGAAGAAACAGAGCTCAAATCAGGATTCAAGAACACAGCTCAAATCTTCTCAGCATTTGGCAACAGCTTGCAACTTTTCCCACTGACTTTCTGGGGAAGTTGGCAGAGAAGATTGCAAGTGTGTAGTCACATGACTGTGGGGTGCTTGGAAACTAGTTATATGTGGTGGTACATTTTGCAACAGCTAGAAGTGCTTCAGAGGTCATAAAACAACCTTTGCAATTCTGTTGTAATTCCGAACCACTGTCAAACAGTCAGAGGTCAAGGACTATCTGAAAAAAAATCTATTTCCTTTGGCATTATCTTCAAGTACCACTTTATCTATTTGAATCCTTTAATTCATTTAATCCACACAATGTCTCAAGCATGCTCGAGTGGTGCAGTGGCCTAGAGGTGGAGTTCTCGCCTCACAATCAAGAGGGTGTGAGTTCAATCCTATGTGGCAGCAGATATTTCTCTCTCTGGGCACAGTGAGAAAATATATGCTGCAAATTCCGCAATGGCGACAGGAAGGACAATAAACATTCAGCTCCATTCAGTTGCCCCAACTCCACCTTGATGCAAGGGATTACGGGGTCATTAAAAGACAATTTTGAGAGACCGCCTTCTGCCAATTACCTCCCTGCGTCCCATCAGATCGCATAGAGCTGGCCTCCTCCGTATTCCATCCG